TTTTTTTTTTTTGGTGGCAAAAAGGGGCTATTAATAATGAATTTGTCTTTGAATCATTCATTCAAGAAATTCATTCAAAAACACTGATTCATCCAGGAATGAAACGAGTGAATCTCGAGTGAGTCATTGAATCATTCCATTCATACATTCCATGAGATTTTGTTTAGTCGTCTAATATGTTTTCTTCAGAATTGTGAGAGAACCACAACCTCCATTAAAAAAAAAAGTCTCAATTGATCCGGAATCGTGCCCAGCTCTATTTTGCACACAAACAGCTCTTAATCCAGTTTTTATGCAGCCGGCTGATTTTTGTTCATGGTATTTAGCAGCAATTCAATGTTTTGCAAAAAGAGACACAGAATTAATAGGTTTGATATCTAAATGTTTGACTTTTAACCACACTGGAATCGAAACTGGGAATTGATTAGAATCGAAATCGATAAGCAGAATCGGAATCAGAATTAAAATTGATAAAATTCAAACAATACCCAACCCTAGGTTTTAGGACAACTTCGATGAAAGGTTTTGATCCACTTCAACGTTGACTAGTGTAGTTATCGTTCTTGGTGTGAACGGGGCTTAAGTCATGAAGGAAGAGGAGGAAAAAAACCGGCACCGGTTAAAAGACACCCAGAAGCTCTCCCAGCGTTTTCCACAGGAGATGAATGAGATGTCCTCCACGACAGCGTACCTGTCTGCTGTCGCGCCGTTTTTGGCCTCACGTGATTGGCTCTCAGCGAAGAACCAGCGATCCTCTGCTTCATTTCGGACGAAAGCACGCGACCTTTCTGCATCCACTCTTGCATCTTGTTGACGGTGACTCCAGGATGTTTGGGCACCGTTGCATCGTCGCAGGATTGTCGCGTCGAAACAGGCGTCGGTAGGGTTTCTGTAGGATTCGCCAGTTGTGCATCGCGTCCCGATGCGACCGCGGGTCGCGGCTCTTCCTTGCGATTTGACGAGTACTTCACCTTGCTATCGCTCACCGACCGCTGGAGCATCGGTTTGGGATTCGCGTCGCGAATATTCTGCAAGCTTCTGCTTTGCGAAGACCCCGTCAGTCCCACCCCACATCGTCTGATAAACGCAAACACCGGCAAATCAGAATCGTTCCGACGTTCTTCCGACCCGTCGCTTCCTGTGCTAACGCTATCGTTGGATTGACTTGCGCTACTGGCCTGATCCACAAATCCGTTATCTTCAACCTGAACGTCGAAACTGATGTTATGCATTGTGTTTATTAGCAAATAATACGCCTCTTTTAGTTGCGACTTCAATCTGTCTGTTTCTTGCTTGGTTTTGTTGGACCCCGACGCCGATATTGGCTCACCGATATTTCGGTCGTTCAACTGAGTGTACGACTCATAAAAGGGTAGAATTTGGTTATCGTAATAATCGTCGTCCTCACTGTCGACTGAGTGGTGTCGAGGGGCCCCGTCTCTCAGCCCGGGGGCCAATGTTATTTCAAGATCAGTGGGGAAAAAAGTCGGACTTTGTATCCTAAAATCTCCATGATACTCCAGCGAACTCTCTATAACCTGAATTAGATCGCTTTCCGCGTCTATATAATCAAACACTTGAGGTTGTGGGCTCCTAAAATCGCCCGTAATGTTTTCCCCGGCCTTTTGCTCGAGTAATGTAACATTTGGCTCTTTATTCTTTAGATCTTGACCATCTGTTAGCTTTAAAGCCTCTCGTTTGGGTTTTAAATCGCAGCCGCCGAAGCCGATCGAGTCTCCGCGGACCCGCGGCGTGTGGAAGCGCTTCAGCTCGGTGCGCTCGCTTCGATCAGCGGGACCTCCGGCGCACCGGGGAACCGGATCCGCGATCGCACAGCTCTGCTCAGCCCTCATCGCGTTTGATATGTCATTTCTCTCTGTTTGCGTCTGAGAAACTTTTTCTTTACCTTCTCTCGGCCGGTTCGCGGTGCTCGCGTCTTTCCCTTTGGGTTTCTTGCCCCTGAGTTTGGCTAGAATTGTCCTCCGCAGAGGATCAGCCATCGGTACCGATCCGATCCTCCAGCTTTAGTTCCGTTCAGCGGCGCTCCGGAGCAACAGTAACCGTGTTAGAAGCGCATCCGTGCGGCCAGGAGACTCCGACACACCGCGGTCAGAGCGCTGCTCCATGATCCACTGAAATCAAATCACACACACACATATTCACTCTCTCTCTCTCTCTCTCTCTCTCTGTGTGTGTGTGTGTGGAAATAGTTCAGATAGTTTCTGTGGGGGTTAAAGGTTTAGAGGCGGAGCTCAAACAAACTCCACATGCAACCAGCAGCTCTGCGGCTACTTCACTCAAATAGCTACTAAATAGTCTTGCAAGCATGCTGTGCACACTATTCCATACCAAAACACTTGCATTTACTAGTCGTACAAACTACTTACATAATAATAATAAAAAAAATATATAATAATAATAATAATAATAATAACAATAATAAAATAAAATACATCCATTTCATATATACAGTATATATAATCTAAATCACATGATTCCAGATCTGCGCTTTGAAGTTCCAATCTAAATCAAATGATTCCAGATCTGCGCTTCAAAGTTCCAATCTAAATAAAAAGATTTGCGATCTGCACTTCGAAGTTCCGATCTAAATCAAACGATTCACGATCTGCGCTTTAAATTGCCGATCTAAATCAAATGATTCGAGATCTGCGCTTCGAAGTTCCGATCTAAATCAAATGATTTGTGATCTGCGCTTCGAAGTTCCGATCTAAATCAAAGGATTCGTGATCTGCGCATCCAAGTTCCGATCTAAATCAAAGGATTTGCGATTTGCGCTCCCAAGGCCTGATCTGAATAATGATTTGCGAACCATCATTTCAGATCAGGACTTCGGAGCGTGTATCACAAATCTTTCAATTCACAAAATGATTTGCAAACCCGCTCTGAAGTTCTGATCTAATTAAAATGATTCATGATACGCTTTTTAAAATCATTACAAGCGATGTCAAAATTTGAAAATGAATGGCTCTTTTTGAACTGTTTTTTGCTAGTGAATCGTTTGAATTAAACGATCGATGTCACGAGTTTGAATCAATAGGAGCGTTTCCAGCGTAAATAACTCACTCAATTGAATCGGTTTGTCTGTTCCTCCGCTGTTTGCTCCTTCAGCCATGTTTACACAACAACACTGTCAGTACTACTACTGGCTTAGCTCACTAGTTTTATGATATTAACTGAAATAAATAAAAAAAAAGTAGTCTATGTTGTTTACAAATAAAATATCCATATTCCATTCCAAAGATAACTGCTTTCCACATCGAAACATCCAACACAAATCTAGGAACATATTCAGGTGAGGTAACCGGTTTACTGCTAACTAGTGAAACACTCCATTAATATGACATATAAATAGATTTTACATTATGATCGAGTTTGTAGCTTAATTCACTGTCTATAATTGACCCTGGAGCACAAAAGCAGTGTTAAGTCGCTGGGGTATATTTGTAGCAATAGCCAACAATACATTGTATGGGTCAAAATTATCCATTTTACTTTTATGCTAAAAATCATTAGGATATTAAGTAAAGATCATGTTCCATGAAGATATTTTGTAAATTTCCTACCGTAAATATATCAAAACTTAATTTTTGATTAGTAATATGCATTGCTAAGAACTTCATTTGGACAACTTTAAAGATGATTTTCTCAATATTTAGATTTTTTTGCACCCTCAGATTCCAGATTTTCAAATAGTTGTATCTCAGCCAAATATTGTCCTATCATAACAAACCATACATCAATGGAAAGCTTATTTATTGCATAAATCTCAATTTTAAAAAATTGACCCTTATGACTGTTTTTTTTATTATATTATAATATAATAGTTAATAATAATATTAATAATAGTTTGAGCACTGCAATTCAGTTGTGACAGTTCAATAGGAAATCAGTTGAAAGCATCCAGTCTCATACCATTGAAGGGAATGTTTAATTTATCAGTATAAACTGTAATAAATATTTGATAACTTATTGTTATTGTTGTATCTTGTAGACTACATTCTAGGGATGGGCATCTTTGGCAGTTTCTCATTTCTGTCATCGATAGGTTTCGAAAAAGAATAAGTACTCGGGGGGCGGGGCATGGCTGTAATGGAGATAATGAAAATATCTGAAGACTGTTATGAAAATGAATGTTAAAAATAAAAATATGACATGAAAACATGTCTATGAAAACACGAACACATGATTAGAACACTGTTAGATTATGATTATGATGCAGCAATGTTATTAAAAAAGAAGTATCTAAAAAGGTATAGCTGCCTGAGGTGAAGCTGAAGAGTGACTTCAGAAACTGAAGCTCGTTCTAAGACACTTCCTATGATATTAATCAGATAACTTAGATACATAACATAGATGTAACAGTAATAGTTTTTTAATGGGTTTAGAGGGAGCTAGGGCAGACATCAACACAACTCTTACGAAAATTAACGATGGTTTTACTATAAATCCAAAGACAGTGGTTACTATTGTTAAACCGTGGTAACCACAAATTAACCATGGTTTTACTACACTAAACATAGTTCAACCATGGAAGTTTTAGGAAAAATAAATACAAATAGCAATCCATTTGCCAAAAAACAAACAAACAAAAAAACATGGTTACTGTACTTTTACTATAATAAAATCATGATTAATTTTTGTAAGAGAAAAATATGACTGATGTTCAGTATTAGGATTTTTCTATAAAGATATTGTAATGATATGTGACCCTGGAGCAGAAAACCAGCCATAAGGGTCAATTTTGTGAAATTGAGATTTATACATAATAAATACGCTTTCATTGATGTATGGTTTGTTAGGATAGGAGGACAATATTTGGCTGAGATACAACTATTTGAAAATCTGGAATCTGAGGAAGCAAAAAAATCTAAATATTGAGAAAATCATCTTTAAAGTTGTTCAAATGAAGTTCTTAGCAATGCATATTACTAATCAAACATTAAGTTTTGATGTATTTATGGTAGGAAATTTACAAAATATCTTCATGGAACATGATCTTTACTTAATATCCTAATGATTTTTGGCATAACAGAAAAATCAATAATTTTGACCCATACAATGTATTGTTGGCTATTGCTACAAATATACCCCAGCGACTTAAGACTGCTTTTGTACTGCAGGGTCACATGCAGTTATTAATGATATCGTCTTAATTTTGACATTTAGGCAATTTAGAAAGTATAGTTTTGTTAAATCTTGAGTATTAAAGTCATGAGAGAGATAGATATCAGGGCAAAATAAAGAGACTGAAAAGTAAAATGGAAGTGAAGGTGCAGTTCAGGAGAGAACTTTTAATTATTTTGCATGTCCTCAACCTAAGGATTTAAACCTTTTTTATTTGATGGCCATACAAAAAAATAGGGTTGTCCTTGTTTCAGGAGTTGTTGTGTGCCTGAAACTTTGTCCCAGTCCGCCCCTGTGATGCACTTTATGACAGAGCACTGAAACAAGGAAAGCAGACAGAATTTACTATAGATTTCACATCCTATAAAGTTTTATTCATTATAATGCTATGTTTATGGCAGATTTGTGCTATATTTTCATCCACATTATCAAGTGACTCCTGAAATTGTTTTCGAAGCCATATGAAGTACAGAAACTATTTTAATTGAAGTATGCTACTGTTGAACAAATATGACGGAAAAAAGCTCTGCTGCATTGTTATAACATCAGTATTTAAAAAAAAAAAGAAACATCTGAAAGCAATATGACCGTCTCAAATAACTCGAGTGCTCGATCACTGTTGCACATTCAGATACAACAATAACTGATCAAATATTTAGACTACAGAGTGAGAGTCAATGTAACAAGAGCAAATGGGCGAAGCAGATGAGCACAATACTGTATGGTATATGAGTTTATCTGTCAGTTTAAAAACAAAGATGATGAACTTACTAAAAATGTGTTCCAAAATAGTGGGTCAGCCACTTCAAAACGTATATAAAAATCTTGTAAGGTTGGCCGATAATATTGTTTCTGAACCGAATCAAGTGTTGTATAATGAATTTGTACTGCTGCCATCCAACCGGCGGTATAAGGTCCCAAGATATAATCGAATTAGGTTAAAGTATTCCTTTCTACGCCAAGCTGTATTAGAGCTGAACAAGTTACACAAAATTAAATCTGTACCGGAGCTTTGAAAATGTATATATATATATAAAAAAAATTTTGTGACTGTGAAAGTTTTGTCGGTCTTTTGTCCATGTGATAAAGTTTTGTAATTGTGAGTGAACCTGCTGTAACGCAAGACAAATATAAAGTTGTATCATATCGTATCGTATCGTATCACTCATTCATCAATGAACGGACTGCAAAATTAACTGGTATTTGTTATTGCATTATTGACAAACTATTTTCCTGTTTAACACTGTAAAGCTGCTTTGACACAATCTGCACTGTAAAAAGTGCTATATATAAATAAAGGTGACATAAAGCTGATCGTATTCTAACCAGACGCGATGCTGCGACAACGAATTCTATTTTAGAACTTTTCTACTACTGCGATATCGCGGCTGGAACAACATAAAAACTATGCTTTATTCAATCATGTTAAAACTGTCTATTGTGAGTTTGAATATCCTTTTACGTGACCTTTACAGCCATAATAAGTGACAATAGAGAGTTAATCTCAAATCTTGACAATACATTTTAGTAACGTTCAAACTCTATCTGAAGTGTAATAAGTGTATCAGTCACTCAGTATCTATTTTTAATCATGTTGAAAGTGTTTCATTATTTAAGAATTAGATTATGTAGGCTACTTATCCATTCCGTTGTGAATACAGACAGCGGCTCCGCCCACACACGCTTCTGATTGGCTCTGACTTTTGATTGATTCCAGCAGTGTGTGTCTGCTTATCTCTGGATTCTTAGATCAAACCTCTAAGTATTAAAGTATCAATCTTGTCACTTGTTGCGCAAACCACCAAGCAACGGTCTAGCAACCACCCTAGCAACCGCATGGCAACACTTTCATCCACATTATCAAGTGACTCCTGAAATTGTTTTCGAAGCCATATGAAGTACAGAAACTATTTTAATTGAAGTATGCTACTGTTGAACAAATATGACGGAAAAAAGCTCTGCTGCATTATAACATCAGTATTTAAAAAAAAAAAGAAACATCTGAAAGCAATATGACCGTCTCAAATAACTCGAGTGCTCGATCACTGTTGCACATTCAGATACAACAATAACTGATCAAATATTTAGACTACAGAGTGAGAGTCAATGTAACAAGAGCAAATGGGCGAAGCAGATGAGCACAATACTGTATGGTATATGAGTTTATCTGTCAGTTTAAAAACAAAGATGATGAACTTACTAAAAATGTGTTCCAAAATAGTGGGTCAGCCACTTCAAAACGTATATAAAAATCTTGTAAGGTTGGCCGATAATATTGTTTCTGAACCGAATCAAGTGTTGTATAATGAATTTGTACTGCTGCCATCCAACCGGCGGTATAAGGTCCCAAGATATAATCGAATTAGGTTAAAGTATTCCTTTCTACGCCAAGCTGTATTAGAGCTGAACAAGTTACACAAAATTAAATCTGTACCGGAGCTTTGAAAATGTATATATATATATAAAAAAAATTTTGTGACTGTGAAAGTTTTGTCGGTCTTTTGTCCATGTGATAAAGTTTTGTAATTGTGAGTGAACCTGCTGTAACGCAAGACAAATATAAAGTTGTATCATATCGTATCGTATCGTATCACTCATTCATCAATGAACGGACTGCAAAATTAACTGGTATTTGTTATTGCATTATTGACAAACTATTTTCCTGTTTAACACTGTAAAGCTGCTTTGACACAATCTGCACTGTAAAAAGTGCTATATATAAATAAAGGTGACATAAAGCTGATCGTATTCTAACCAGACGCGATGCTGCGACAACGAATTCTATTTTAGAACTTTTCTACTACTGCGATATCGCGGCTGGAACAACATAAAAACTATGCTTTATTCAATCATGTTAAAACTGTCTATTGTGAGTTTGAATATCCTTTTACGTGACCTTTACAGCCATAATAAGTGACAATAGAGAGTTAATCTCAAATCTTGACAATACATTTTAGTAACGTTCAAACTCTATCTGAAGTGTAATAAGTGTATCAGTCACTCAGTATCTATTTTTAATCATGTTGAAAGTGTTTCATTATTTAAGAATTAGATTATGTAGGCTACTTATCCATTCCGTTGTGAATACAGACAGCGGCTCCGCCCACACACGCTTCTGATTGGCTCTGACTTTTGATTGATTCCAGCAGTGTGTGTCTGCTTATCTCTGGATTCTTAGATCAAACCTCTAAGTATTAAAGTATCAATCTTGTCACTTGTTGCGCAAACCACCAAGCAACGGTCTAGCAACCACCCTAGCAACCGCATGGCAACACACTAATAACAGCCTAGCATCATGCAAACACATCTGGCCCGGTCAAATGTGACTCGTCTCAGTCTGAACTGAACTCACACCGGCCAGTCTGGTGCGACGCGGTTTGTTGTGGTCTTTATTAAACCGGTCTGTCCTCCCGCTGGTTCTCGGGCCGAGGGTCAGACTGAGTGTCTCCTGCTCCGGCCGTCCATCTGTGGTGAATGAATAGTGCTGTCCCACACACATCACGAAAGCTGTTCAATCTGTCTACTACTAAACTACATAGTGTCTGAGATTACAATTAGTACACCGCAAATCACGGACAACAGCACTTCATGGCTCTGGATGAAGCCTAAAAGTAAAAGGGAGGGAAATTAATTTTGCTGTACTGTAACAGTACGACAAGTGCGTCTCAAATCATAGTAAGTGCTTGAATGGCGTACTACTTAGGGCGGATTTTAGTGCTAAAGAGTTACTATTACCTACAATCAATGTGAATGTGTTTTAGTTGTTGGTCAAAGAGGAATGAGACTGTAAAGATGCAGAACTGCTTTTAATATGAAAAAAGTATCAATTTATGGTAGAAATTATTGTATACATACTGTATATTTCAATAAACTTGTTTTAAGTCTTTAAAAATATAGAAGTATATAAAAGTTCAATAAACTTAAAAAATAAAAATTACTAAATTATTACAATTATATATAATGTGTGTGTGTGTATATATATATATATATATATATATATACATACATACACTTACAAAAGTTCAATAAACTTAAAAAATAATAAAAATTATTACTAAATTATTACAAATATATGTATGTAAGTGTATGTATGTATATATATATATATATATATATATACACATACAAT